CGCCCGAGCAGCCGCCGCCGCCGCCGCCGCCGCTGCCCCCCAAGAAGCTGCTGTCGGAGGAGCCGGCGGTGAGCGAGCTGGAGTCGGTCAAGGAGAACAACTGTGCTTCCAACTGCCACCTGGACGGGGAGGCAGCCAAAAAGCTGATGGGCGAGGAAGCCCTGGCGGGGGGTGACAAGTCGGACCCGAACCTCAACAACCCTGCGGACGAGGACCACGCGTATGCTCTGCGAATGCTGCCCAAGACGGGCTGCGTGATCCAGCCTGTGCCAAAACCCGCGGAGAAGACTGCCATGGCGCCGTGCGTCATCTCCTCGCCCATGCTCAGCGCCGGGCCCGAGGACCTGGAACCTCCGCTCAAAAGGAGGTGCCTCCGAATTAGAAATCAGAATAAGTAAAAGGTTTGTATGTCCACCAAGGCGCTCCGTTGTGTGAGGCCCGGCCCCTCTCGTCCCAAGGCAGAGGCGAGCGAGTTGTAAATAATCATGATGTTGACCGTACATGTTTTACAGTACACCTTGTGTGGTCACATATGCATTCGATCCAACACCATTCCCATTTTGCAGCTGAGGAAATTGAGTCACAGCATGTAAGTGCCATACCCAAGGTCACTTAGGGAAAAGCCCACTGTGCTGAACCTGACTTGAAACACTAACTCCCTAATGATGCTTTCATTTGATTGTGCCCATCTCTGTGGTTCCAGCTGTAGGAAAAGGGGAAGATGGGAGGAAGGAGAGGTTGCCTGTAAAAGTTCAGTCATGATTTCAGGGAGTTCACTTGCAGGTGAGAACAAACACCAACCTCCCTACCTGCTACGCCAGCTGAACCCAGGTCACTGGGCCCCAATTTGCCTGGCAGGCTATTAGAGCACAGACTCATAGCACCTGTTCTTGGGGTCTCTTCCCTCATTCTCCAGGCATAGGTTAGCTTTCCTTCCTCCTGTTTGGGCTCTGTGGCTCAGTTGGCGGATGGCTCGTTTCTGCACACAGTGAGACGCTTCCATGGGGAAAAGGGCCATGTTAATGAAGTGGGTGACAGCACACAGCTCTGATCTCATGCCGGAAACCTGCTAATTGCCAAGTGAGGCTTCAATAATGAGCCCAGAATTTCAGTAAGGGCAAGGAGAACTAGCATGCCATTGTAACCAGATATGCCCTCATGTGCTTCTCCTGCCAATCCTGCTGAAATGGGCCTTCTGTGTCTCAGCGGGAGGACAATGAGGCTTGGAGATATTGCACAGAATCGGACCTGATATTTGGGGGGACCAGAATTCAACTCGGGTGTGCTGGACCCAGACACAGGGCTCTTCCCCTCTATCCAGCAGGGCAGCAGTTGAAATTTATCAACTACTTGTGAAAAGTAAAGGAAAAGAACATTTACTGAGCTCCTAATTTTGCATGCTCCTTCCAGGAGCTGGGGAGATAAAAAGGTTAAGAGGGTGCTGTTCCTGCCCTCAAGACAGTCAGCTGGGGATATAATGCAGGGATGAAGGAGGCCTGGATAGGAGAAGTGGACCTTGTAAGAAGAATAAGGGCTCACTTTTGTATGTTCAGGTCATCTCCGAAGTGTTTTCAAGAATATTTATTCGGATCTAGATCCAACAACAGTTATCATCTTTGTGTTACTGATGAGGGAGCCATGATCGAGAAATTAAGAAACTCAAGCAAAATGGCCACATTAGTAAGCAGAGTTGAGATTCAAATTCAAGCTGACTCCAGAGCTACATTTTCTTTAAACTGCTGTAGAAAAATAGGCTGACTTGTCCCTTTATTATCCTACCTGATGAAATTCTTTTATCTCAGTTAGTTTGGGGTTAAGTTCCTAGATAAAAGCCAAGGCCATTTACCAACTTCTCTAAACTGCTTTGAAGGTGTTTAATCCTGGTTTCCCAGCAACAAACCCAGACTACCAACCCATTACTCCACAGTGGGAAATAATAATTGTGACTAGACCACATGATGTGGTATATCCAGATCATTGTCTCTGAGTTGTATGTTCAGGTAACCTCTGAAGTACATGGGTACCTACCTCACTTCTAGCCAGAGTCTGCTTGGAAGCACAGAGCCACATGGGGCGTTTGTTGAGTGGTAGGAGATGGATTTCTCAAGCTCCATCATCTGAGGTTTCCTTATTCATTTGTGGCTTTGCCAGTAGGTGCAGAATCTAAAAATCAACTCACTGTCCCTTCCTGGTTTTATATATACACATTCTGCTGTCTGAAGACAGATGGCCTCAGCCTTCTCATAGTCACTTCAGTCGTAAATACCTCTGATTTCTTCTCTAGGGTAATTTAATCTGGTTGACAAAACAGTGAGGAATGGGGATATGTGAGGGAGGGGGCGGGAAAGGATAGCCTTTAGAAAGCATTGGGAATTGTAATTTTAAACACATTTAATACTGTCCATTCAAATGACGTTAAGGGAAGAACGGGAGGGTGAAAGACTTTACTGCTGTGACCAGGTCAAGAATAGTACTGCTAGGCCATATTAGCATGGGTCCAAAGGACATGAAAATATGAAATGTATGATGATGATTTGAGTAATAAGTGTTTCAGAATAAAGAATCAGATTAGGGTCTTATATATTGACCAAGGTTATTACCAAAAATATTAACCTGGTTTTACCTAATCTCAGAAGATGTCCATAGGTGCTTGAGACTGGAGAATTCTTTTTATGATGGGTCCCTCCAACAAATTACAGTTTTTCTCTAACGTCAGAGATACTCAGACTTTGCAGCTACCATGGGGTGACAAGCCAAGTGATTTAAGATGGTGGGAGAACCACCTCTCTGCCACTAAATCACATTCCCTTTTGCCCTCTGTAGTTCCACGTCAGCCCACAGCACAGTTGCAGGCTGCTATAATTCACTCACATTTTCTGACCCTTCCTGATTTCCTGTGCACACGTGGTGCTGTTTTTCTTCCATGCCTTCAGAAGCCCAGCCCTTTCCTATAGTTGCAGAAACTGGAAATGCATCCATTAAATAAAGGCCTTTGTGCCTTGACAGTGAACACTGTGTGGTGACAAGTTAAAGCCAAAGTGAAAAGCACTAAAACCAAAAATGAACCTGGGTTGAGTTGTGGTGGGTGAACTGCAGGTGAGTGATTTCTTCATGAGCTTTGTGGGTGACTGAATATATCATTTTTCTGGGTTGTCACTAACTTTAATCACGCTTTCATTCTTTTCACTATGTCCACCAGACTCAGGCTGCATTACTGTTGTTTAAATCATTTAAAATAGGTTCAAAATAGACTATAGTTTGATATCAATAATCTAGGTAGCTACAATTATCTTCAAGGAAGTTTTGGGAAATTAGAGTCTTTTCCCCTATTTGGAAGTTACTCTGTTTCTGGTTACCTGACTTTCTTGTTTGTTGATATGATTACAAATGATTTCGCTGGGCAGATATTTTCCTAGTTGCAGAACTAACTAAGTTTAGTAAAAGATCTTAAAAGGTTGTAAACTTCCTTTCATCTTCAACTTGAAATCTCCAAATATGAGTTCTGCAGCTTCTGTAGACTGGAAAAAATATATATATATCCCTCAAATAATAAGGAAAACAATGTATAAACATTTTGCAAACTATTCTATCCACAAAGAATTCCATGTGTAAATGGAATACTCCCTTCTTTGTCTGCCCAGGAGCTTGGGGATAACTGTTTGTATTTGTTCATTTTCTGAATTTCTACAGTTTATACTTGTTTATGGTACTTTGGGGAGTTCAGAGTAACCATTTGCAAATGTTTGAAGATATTCAAAAGAAAATATCCGCCCTCCTCAGTTTGCCAGGGAAATGACATATGTTCTTCAAGTAAATTAATCAATGGAAAAATGTGTGTCACCAGTAACCCTTTCGCCTGGGAACGACAAGTCCCCTTTGTGACCCCTAAATTTCTTTTTCTAAAAAGTTTTATTGAAGTTACATTGGCTTATAAGATTATACAGGTTTCAGGTGTACAACATTATGTATTTCTTAAAACATGAAACTCTTCTCCCTGGCTCCAATTCCACGGGTGCTTCCCTAGCCTGGTGGAGGAGTGGAGGGGCGGGGTGGGGTGGGGGTTTGGGGGTTTCCTTCCATTTTTTTGCTCTCACCGTGAGAACTCAAGGTGACTGTGATTTTGGCTTCTTGGAGCTTAATCATTAGTCTAGCCATGGGGCCACAGTCCTAAAGTGACTGGGGTGTAGAATTAATGCCTCATTAGGAAAATCAAAAGGGTGGAAGTGACAGGTAACTTGCTAACAGTTTCTCTGGCTGAGCAGAAGTAAAGCTCATACTTCAAATTATAAAAGTATGTGTGCTTACTTTTAAAGCAAAGAAAAGAAGAAAAACTGAGAGCAGAGGAAATCATAACAAGTGGGTTATGTTTAGATCTTATGCCAGACTTAAGATTTTTAGTGTTCCAGAACTTGATTATTGGAAATGTTAATGGACCACATAATCCCTGATGTTAAAGTTTCTCCCATCTCAGAATGCAGATGGCTGTCCAGTTCCAGACAGAGGTAATTCAAAGAACCAGCAGGAAACCGTCAGGTCTACATCATGAACACATGTGAGGTGTGAGGATCTGAAAGGTGCTTGCAGAATCATTTCAGACTCATAGTGGAGAATTTTCTGGAATGAACATTGTCAACTTTGTCATGAGCCACTTCTCATATAATGCCTCTGGGTCTTTGTAACCTTTCTGACAGGGGACATTGAAGAAGAGTTTGATGCACAAACATCTGGCTTTTAGATAGTATTTCAATCAGATTATGATGGACTAGAAAATGACATATGTGACCGGGTATTTATTTCATTCAGATGTAGCCCTAATTCTCCACCTCCAGTAGGCTTGGAACTAGGATGAAGCTAGCAAAGTGTGTGGTGCGCACTTTAGAGAGGACCTCACTCTTGGCATTGTGCAAATGCAGGACTAGCCTTCGTCCCTAGACCTGCTGGTGCACTCAGCAGCTGTTCTCTTATTCCAGGGATTCACCTGGGGACAGTTGAGCCTCTTCTGGAACTTTGTATATCCCTAGGCACAGAAGCATTTTCTTGGGAGGAGAGGTCCATAGATTTAGCTTCCAGGAAGTGTGAGCTACATTTCTGAAGGATTACCTTATATTATTACCAAGCGATAGCTAAATTGGATTTTCTTCTTGCTACTCTGAGGTAGCTAAATTGTTGGTTCCCCTTAAAAGTAAGAATTGTTTTTAGCAGTTTTTGCTGTGCATCTATTATTACAAAATCATTGTTGCAGCTATCTCATTTAACACTTGCCTCAAAAAGTGTCTATTTGAGGGACCAATGCTAAAGATTATATGGATCTTTCTTCTAATTACCATAGGTTGTCAGTGCCCATGGTGAACAGAGAAGAAAAGGAAAGTAAGAAGAGAACCTACAAACTAGAAACACTTGG